AATAAGAAAATGAAAGGAAATAAAAAGTATAAAGGCTAGAAATGAAAAAACAAAAACGGTATTATCTGTAGACAATATGGCTGCACACAGAATACTCCAAGAAATCCACAGATTAATTGTTAGAATTAAGAAATTAAGCAAGGTTGGTAAATACAAAGTCAGTATTTTTTAAATGCCCATTCTTAGTTAGCAACAAAACCTAATTAGAAATATATCTTTTAAAAATAGAGATTGCTTTGATAAAATTTATTCATTTAGGTATTTCATTTGATATCTCTCTTTTTAAACATATTGATGTGAATAAATTTAATTCGACTGTAAACCATGATTTCAGACACTAATTTTCTTTTATTCTCTCTTTCTCTGTCTTTCTTTTTTTGGCCAAATATACGTGGAAAGCCTGCTATGTGCCAACAATTGCATTAGACCTTTAGGATAGTTATAAAGATGATCAAGATATGGTTCATTGTCTTCAAGTGGTTCAAGTTGGGGGAGAAGATAGAACTATAAAGAATAAAAAATAGCAAAACAATGGCGTTTTAAAACAGAGAGGAAATTAGAAAGGGAGGGAGGGAAGAAAAGAGAAAGAAAGGCAGAAGGGAAAGAAGGAGGAAAGGAAGGATGAAAGGAAAGAAGTAGAGAGAAAGGGAGGGAGGACAGTAACTTTAAAAATTGGTAAGGGAAGGAGAGAAGATGAGAAACTCTAAAACCTGCAGATATTATTTCATGCTGTATGTTCCCTCCTCTGATGACAGAAAGAGAATGTGAAGAAAGAAAATTATATCCTGCATGGCTGAAAATGGTCCCCCACAAAAATATCATGGTGGACAACTCATCTGAAATAGTGGTATCTCTGGGAAGCAGTTTAGCACTGGAGAGTTTGGACTTTCATGGCAGGCTGCCTTGGTTCATATCTTTTGGTGATGATACTTATCTTCTGTAAGGCCCATTTCTTTATTTGTGAAATGAAGACAATAGAGTGCTTATATATAATTTAGAACAATGTCCATCACATAGTAAACACTTAATAAATGGTAGCTGTTATTGTTGTTATTATTACTATTATTACCTTGAAGACAGGGGCTCTGTCTTGTTCATCATTTCGTCTCCAGCTCTTAGCACAATCCCTGGCACAATTCAAACATGTATTTGGATGAATGACAAATATCTATTGAGTATTTGCCCTGTTCCAAGCATTGTTAGAGGTACATGGGACAGGACAGTGAACAAAACAGACAAAACCTCCTACTGTCTTAGAATTCACTCTCTACTGGGGAGACCTAGGCAATGAGGAAACAATTAAAATATACAGTGTGTCTTATGGCAATAAATGACAAAGAAAAATAAAGCAGAGAAGGTGAGAAGTGGTGACAGTGTTTTGTGATCATTTGCTTTGCAACAAGCCACTCCCCGCATTTACTGGCCTAAAATAATTTCATCATAGTTCATGATCTGGCTACAACAATACACATCTCTCTCATGTGCAAAATACACTCACTCCTCCCTCAAAGCCTCGTGCCATTAAGGGTTCAGGTTCAAAACTTAAGATCTTATCCTCTGAAGTACGTTTAGGGACAAACAAAGCTTCTCAGGTACTTCTGGGGATGCAGAGACTTGTGAACTAAAAGACGAGTTATCTATCTTCCAACACAACTGACATGCAACGGGGATTCAGGAAAAGATAATTTCAATAGGCGCTTCTGTGCAAAAGCGGGGAAAATGAGTCATGCAGCAGTCACAGTTCATATTAATCTAAAATCTAGCCAGGCATATATCCCAAGTCTTCCTGATGTGGGGACAAGAATTATTTCTGGATTAGGGCTCACTTTTTCTCTTTGAGAATGGTTCTCCTCAGCTCTTGGATTTGTCCTCTGAATCATCCTTCCTTGTCCACATACATATACACATATACACATACATACGTAGAGAGACTGTCATGTAGGCTGGAGTACAATGGTGAGATCTCAGCCCACTGCAACCTACACCTCCTGGATTCAAGCAATTCTCCTGTCTCAGCCTCCCCAGTAGCTGAGACTACAGGTGCACGCCACCATGCCTGGCTACTTTTTGTATTTTTAGTAGAGATGGGGTTTCACCATATTGGTCAGGCTGGTCTCGAACTCCTGACCTCAGGTGATCCACCCACCTCGGTCTCCCGAAGTGCTGGGATTATAGGCATGAACCACTGTGCCTGGCCTATAAAATATTTTTTGTAAAAACATCTCAGCCTGCTCCATGCCTATAGAAAGTTTGACTCCCAGATGTGTCTCTTTTCATTTTGAACTATCTCTGCCCTTCTTAAATCAAGCTGATAAAATTCCTTTAAATGCTTTCTAACTTTTTAACATATTAAATTAGGGGGAAAAAATGCCTACGTTTATCTTTGAATGCTACTTTGGGCTGCAAACCAAAGGGATACAGGACAGCACCCTTAAGATTCTTAGAAGCTCTTTTGCTTGGTCAGAGGGTCTGAGGTCTTAAAGTGTTTTACAGCCATGCCCTTGGTTTGATCTTGACCCTAAGGTCACATTTTACTGCCAGTGCCCTGAATTTGACCTTTTCCCCAGGTTTTAATATTTTAAATTTATCTTCAGAATCTCTTGCTGTCTGGAAAGACTATCCTGGGCCATGTCTACTTTCTCTAAATCTTGCTTTAAAATGGAATACAGTAGTCCCCCCTTATTCATGAGGGATACGTTCCAAGACCCCAGTAGATGCCCAAGCCCGATTGCCATTAATCAAGACACATTTCTGCTTATGTCTTCTACCCACCAATTTAATGCCTTTTCCATCTTAACTAAGCACCTATCACACACTGTAGCCATACTTTCACAGTTTGAGATGTGACAGCAAAACTAGCACAAATCTCTTTTTCCTTCTTCACCATTTTTGGATAGAGGATGCATCCTTACCATAGACCTTAGCAACCTTGGCATATGAATTTTTTCCTTCCTTATTACATTGAGAATTTTCACCTTCTTACTTAAAGAAAGCACTTTACAGCTTCTCTTTGGCATATTCAAATTGCCAGCATCACTACTCCTGCCCTTTGGGGCCACTGTTAAGTAAAATAAGGGTGACTTGGACACAAGCACTGCATTACCCAACAGACAGTTCATCTGATAATGGAGAGGGCTGCTAAGTGACTAATGAGTGGTCATCGTAGATAGCATGGATCTGCTGGAAAAATGGATGGTTCATGTCCCAGGCAGGATGAGATTTCATCATGCTACTCAGAACGGCATGCAATTTAAAACTTATGAATTGTTTATTCCTGGAATTTTCTGTTTAATATTTTTGGACTGCTGTTGACTGCTGGTAACTGAAACTGCAGAAAAGGAAACAGGGGACAGAGGCAACTACTGTAGTTTCTTCTTTAGGTTATCGCTTTCTTCCTGTACTTTATCTTGGGTAACTAAAAGACATACACTTTGCCACTTTCAATATCCTTCCTGGGTATCTCCTTAGCTAGACACCAAGTCCACTGGTTACATTTTGCTACAGTCCACATTACTCCTGGAGACCATGTTGCCAAACTTTACAGCACGTATAATGTCTGTTCCCTTTCTCAAACTTCCAGGAACAATTTTTTCACTGCCTTTTGTCTCAACACCCTTCAAGTCTCCAAAATTTTTGTTATAGTAGTACTCCACTTTTAAGTGTGTGATTTCTCTATTGCTATGTTACAAGCCACTCCATGGCTTAGTGGCTTAAAACAGTAATAATTTATTCAGTCTCATAATTTGTAGTTTGGATGATTGTTATAACTACTGTCAGCTGGAAGCTGGGATAGCTAGAAGGTCTGTCACGGTCTCACCCACACAGTAGGCATTTGGTACTGGCTGCCAGCTAAGAGCCCAGCGGAGGCTTCGGGGGAGGTCCTCAGCTCTCCTCTGCTTGGGCCTCTCCATGTGGCAGCCTCAGCTTCCTCAGAGCATTGGGCTAAGTTCCAAGAAGGAAAGGTAAAATTTATAGATCCCTTAACGCCCAGATTTCTGCCACATTCCATTGGTTAAAACAGGTCACAGGGCCAGTTGTGTTCTTGATGAGGGGAAATAAACTCTAGATTCCACTTCTTGATGGAAAAATGACCAGGTCATCGTTGCAAATAAGCGTGAAGAATGGAATATATTGGTGTGGTCTTTTTGGAAATACAATCTACCACAGCCAGAGCATATGTCTATGTATGTAATTTAAAATAAGATGGTCAGGGGAAGCCTTCAGAGACAGTGACATTTGAGCAAGGACCTGAAGAAGAAGAGAGGATGCCTTGCAGATATTTGGGATGAAAGCATTACACACTGAAAAAATTGTAAATACAAAAACTCTGATGTGGTAATGAGCTTGGTCTACTCAAGGGATGATAAGGAAGCCACTGTGACTGAAGTAGAGGGCTGAGAAGGAAGGAACAAGAAGTTAGAGGTGAGGTCAAAGAAGTCATGGAAGCCAGATCATGTAGGGCTTAGAGGCACCTGGAAAAAGGAATGTTTGGTTAAAAGGATAAACAATTGTGCTTCCAACAGGTGTCCATAGAATAGGCCCTTCCTATGTGGTAGTAACAAAATAAGTAAACACTTGAGAATCTCCTCACTCCCCACCTCCAAATTCCTTCCTGATAATTCCATAACTAGTTCCTGTCCATGGGTAACTCCATTGCACTTCTTGAAGTATAGCTTTCACAGGGAGGTGGCACAGCCTGTTACAAAAGTTTGCTTCTACTCCACAAGCCTTGCTCTATGTGAAGAATTATCACATACGTATGAATCTAATAGCCATTTTAGATACTGTCCAACTTCCCACCTCACCAACTTCTAAAAACTTCATCTTTTTTTCTCAGTTTTATAGATGATGTCATTATTGATTTTAAATTATAAAATGGAATGTTTCCAAGGGAGGTTACAGTTCCTGCTGCAATATATTCATCTTAGAGCATGAACGACTTGTAATTGTTAAGTGCATTTTCACAGCTAATCATGTGGCATTTGGTTGCTGCTTTTCAGGAAAACTTTTAAAAGCGGAGTATATTCTGAGCAGTCTAATAAGCAACAATGGAGCAACGGGTGAGTACTTTCATATCTTCACAATGACCTTTACCTCAGCCCCAAACAGAGCACTCATTTAATAACAACTTAGTGACTTAATAGTTACTATACATTAGATGTTTTCAGAGCTATCTGGGACTGGCTCTGCCACTGATGAATGAAGAAGCTTTGATCAAGCAGCTTCCATCTCTGTGTGTCTGTTTTCTCTAAGTTAACAACAACAACAACAAAAAACAAAGACAAGGAATCTACTATTGGCCTGCTTCCTTACAGAGTATGTTATCTAATGGACGGTCACTGTCAAGGCAGGTAACTCTGTGGGCCTTATAAAGGTTCGATAGCAGCTTTTAAACAAAATTGTGATTGGAAATAAAAGCCTGTAAGTTCAGAAGAGTCTGCTTTGGCTTTATCGATTTAAATGGTTCAGAAAATGGATTTGATTTTTGGTACATAAGAACTTTAATAAAACTTGTTTCCAAATGGATTTTCTTTCAATATTTAATTATACATGAAAGGAAGCAAGTCCTAATAATTGGGTAACAAATAACTTAAGCCTTCGGATATCGTGTCTGAATTTCTGGGCATTTAAGTTAGCAAGTTTATCAATAAGTTGAGAAGTTTCCACTGGACTTTTAAACTCAGCATGCTTGGATGTGAGGCCTCAAACTCCTTGACACTTGTGGACATTTCTAATGGGGAGATAGTTTGGAATCCAAATATTAACCACGCACCCCTCACTTGTGGCCACCATCACTAAACTACAATATACACTCTTGCCATCATGCGCACACACACGCACACATACACACGGATTCAAAGCTAGGAAGAAAAAAATATTATCTGACGTGACAGAGAATAGTGAGGGGGCAGTAAAGAGTCTGCCTCTATTTTTGATATTTGACCACTGACAGTTTTCAAGCCACAGCCATTTTTACTTTTGTCTCACACTGGACAGGCTGATTAAAACAAACAACAAAAAGCCCTTTCATCCACACACCCAAACCCAGCTTACAGGAACCTTTACCCGGCCCCACACCCCAGTCACAGTGAAAAGCAAAGCCACTCACCACTTCCTGCCTGAGTCAAAGGAGCAGCTTGGGTGCCAGCCTGACTTACCCTAGAAAGCCTCATTATGTGAGCAATAAATCTTCTCATACCCTCTTGGTACACGTGTGGAGTCATCAGTTTTGACATCCAAACAAATTTTCCTCAGATGGGATCCACCTCACCCTCTGCAAAGCAACCATAAGACAGTGGGGGTAACAGTGTAGAAAAATTAATCTTTGGAGGCCTTTGAGGAAAAGCACTGAAACTGAGACCTGAAGAAGAAGGATCTGGCCTCTTAAGAAGCCAGAGGAAAGAGGATCCCAAGCAGGGCTAGTGGTAAGTGCAGCTGCCATGAAGCAAGAGGCCAGTCCTATTACAAGGAGGCAAAATAAAGCTAGAGTGGACAGAGAGTAAGTGGGGGGACTGGAGACCAGACAGGAGTCAGTTCCTGCAGAGCCTGAGGCTACAGCAAGAAGTTTGGACCTGATTTTAAATGTAGAGACGAGATTGTCTCTCAAAATGATGTCACATGTGCTCATGAAGACTTCTGTGAAAATAGTTTTAATTTACAAGGCTGTATCTCTGATAATTCAAGGGAATTTTTCCTCTTTTCTTTTAGGTACCTGGCTGTACAGAAATGAAAGTGACAAGGTCCTGGTGCAGTCGGTCTGTATACAGATCAGAGGGCAGATTCTGCAAAAGCTAGGTACCATCATCTAACACTTGCGTTTCTCAAGGCTCATTTACAAAGCCTGGCTGCATGGTTTCACTGTGGAATTTTCTTCTTTTATCTGGCTAAAATTGTTAATTTCCACTTGCCTTAGTTTCCTCATCGAAAACAGAATGGCATTTAAGATCCTAGGAGTGTCCCAAATATTAATAATTTTTTTTTCTAGTAAGCTTTGTTAGAGAGGTTCACAGTTGTATATTGTGATGTTAACTGTAGGGTTCCCAGTGTTATTTCTCACACCTGACTCAGTTCAGCAGGACTCCGTGTAATATGGTGACACCTTATACTATACCCACCGTGACACTGTATTCGTTCATTCCTTAAGGTATTCATGAATTTTTTAAGTTTATAGAATGCTAATATACTTTAGAATGCAAAATAAGGGTTTGAGAAATTTTAACAGGAGGTGGCAATTATTATTTTTGTAAAAATACTGAGAAAACTACATATATTATACATATTATATATACAAATATATAATAATTCTATTTCCCAGTGAAATGGAAAAATTGTCGCTATTACAGTTGGAAAAACATTACTGTGTCAATCTAATCTAAGCCTGAGTTTTCCTAACAGGATCTAATGAGTCTTGTTTCTGTATTAGTTTTCAAAGGTATTCTCTCATACAAGAGCACAGATACCAGCTGTTCCTCCCCTGTCCCTCTCCCTGCCCCTCTTTTTTTTTCAGGGATGTGGTACGAAGCAGCAGAGTTAATATGGGCCTCCATCGTAGGATATTTGGCACTTCCTCAGCCGGATAAAAAGGTGGTTTGTCTAGTGCTTATTTTTCTCCTGTCCTGCATTTGTCTTTGGATGATTATCTCTTTATGATACAATTCCATTTCTCATGTATCAATTTCATCTCTCCTATTTTTATTTATTTTTCATGAGCATAGGACCAGGTACAGTTAGTAACTTCCTTCTGTATCTTACTTCATACTCACTCACAGCTAAACTCTTGGGGCATAGATGGTGTTTTTATAATCATTTCTAACTGTCCATTTATATATTTATCTCTACTGGTCCATTCATTTATCTGTTTTATTATATATTTAGCCTTTACTTGATTGCATAGCAAAGTTGAGATGGCCAAGTTGCTTATACGTAAAATCATTTTTCTTGAGTTGAGTGGGCGAAGACTTCAATTGTTTATGTAGCATCAAGTAGTATATGTCAATCCTACTTGACATTTTCATTTTCTGGAATTCTGTGGGAATAATCTGATTATCTGAAGCATCCAGTTATTACATTTCCCTGATCTGTGTAAGCAATTGCTGTCTATGATTCTTTTACAATACAGACTGTGATGTGAACTCTTCCTTGGGCCAGTTATTCAGGTCTAGCAGTAGGGACAAGTTAGTATTGATCACCCAGTGAAACCCAGCTGAGAAGTAGCTGTGTTTACATTAGGCCCACGTGCCCTAGGATGTGTTGATCTTTCAAGCTTTGTGGCAGCCAATTTAAAAGTATCTCCAAGTCAGAGTATTATTACACAATGTATGCATATGTCAAAATGTCACACTGTATCCCATAAACATGTACAATTATTATATGTTGACTTTTAAAAATAGTATCTCCAGTGTCATAGTAATAAAATAACAATAGGCAAATCATTCATATGGAGGGATAACCATTGCCTTTAGGCCATGAAGTGAGAGCAGTAATCCACTGTGAATTCCCAATCTGTGTCTTGTTTGTGTTTTTCTTACAGGGCCTCTCCACGTCATTAGGTATACTGGCAGACATCTTTGTTTCCATGAGCAAGAATGATTATGAAAAGTTTAAAAACAATCCACAAATTAATTTGGTAATTATCATAACACTGAGTGGCATCATCTGTAAAACTGTCAATGGTGTCATTGGTGGGTGATTAGTGGGTGTCTTTCTCAGGAGATTGGGAGGCAGGGAGCTCAGTGCTGCCCCTGCTAGACAGATGGGAGAAATACTGGGGAGGAGTCCTGGGGGGTCCTTTTTGGCTTTATTATCCCAGCGCTCAGCACTGTACCAGACACACAGAGGGTGCTCAGAAAGTTACTGCTGAATGAATGAATGAATGAATGAATATCAACAAAATTATTTTGAGCCTCACTTCTTTCCGAGTATCACAAAATTCAGTTTCCAAACTTGGGCCATCTTGATGATAAAGGGGTAATAATTTTAAAATTTTATAATCACCATCTGTTTAAATGAGAGCATCAGTCCCTTGTTCCAGGCTCTTGTCCTTGATAATAATGACTGCTAATTTTTATATATCACTTTACAACTCAAAAAAGTGTATATATCTCCACATAAAACCCTATGAGGAGGGTAGAGCAAATTGTGTCACTCCATTTTAGAGGAAAATAAAATGCAGTGCAGAGAAACTAACTAACCTCTGCAGTTTACACAACCAGTAAGAGAGAGAACTGGGAGCTGAGCGCAGGTCTCTGACCAGCCCAGAGAAGTGGCAAGGATGTTCTGCTGCTCTTCACACTGTGCTGAAATGGAGTGTTTATTATCATCTATATTGCCATTTTTATTAAAGACCCCAATCACAATGGTAACTATGCTCAATACTAATTAATGTAGCAAAAGAACACATACAGCTTGCTGATGGTAATCTGAATCTAAGATGTTGCTTTTTCTGTTTGACCAAAACAGGAGGATCATGACCCTTGTTCACTGAAGTTATCCTTGATGACTGTTTAAAATTGCAAACTTCCCTCCCATCCTGGACCTCCCTAACCCCTTCTCCATTTATTTTCTCTCCAGAACACTTGTCATCATCTCAAATACTATACACTTCACTTGTTTTGTATATTGACTGATCCCTCCCCCACAACAGAAAGTAAGCTCCTTGCGGGCTCACTGCCTGCTGTCTCCTGTGTCTAGAACAGGCCCTGGCATGGGGAGGTACTTTGTACATATTTATAGAATTAATAAATGAATCCTAATTGCTGTGAAATCATCAATTAAAGGACTCTTGGCCAAGAGCAGTGCAGAAATCAATCAATCTGGCTGCAAAATTTGCAGGTTCCTTTGAACAAAGAACTGCCACCATCTTCCAAAGAAGCTCACCCAAATTATTGCACAGGTGTGTGGCTGCTGGGAAAAAGCAAAGTCAACACCTTGTGGTCTTTAGACCTACTTACTCTTTATTGACACTGTTCTGAATGGGTTGTGGTGAGGAGTCCCTTGAAATCATGAAAGAAAAGCAAAACCATTTCATAGCCTGTTTTTTGCTTATTGATAATTATCACCATTCCACTTAGCCTCCTGTTTTCTCACAGAGCCTGCTGAAGGAGTTTGACCACCATGTGCTGTCCGCCGCAGAAGCCTGCAAGCTGGCAGCTGCCTTCAGTGCCTACACGCCACTCTTCGTGCTCACAGCTGTGGTAAACAGAGTGTGGCCCTTCCTCAAACCCCTACAGGACCTCTCCCCAGGGTGCTTTCCGATGTAATCAGTGAGAAGGGAAAGGTTTAACCTTCAAATAGTCTTTGTGTCTCATCAGTGGCAATTGTGATAAGACTCCACACCACATGTGGAAAAATTTTATCTGTCGGAGTTTTGACAGCCTGCTAGGAGCTAAATTAATTCAGCCCAAGGATAGAATGTTGTCTGTTGTGAAGCAGTGGTTCCCAAGCCTGAGTGCACATCAAAATCACCTGAGGAACCTTCTCAAAATATGTATTCCAGCCAGGCATGGTGGCTCACACCTGTAATCCCAACACTTTGGGAGGCCAAGGTAGGAGGATGACTTGAGCCCAAAATTTCAAGACTGGCCTGAGCAACATGGTGAGATTTCGTGTCTACAAAAATTTAAAAAATAAAAATTGCCCAGGTGTGGTGGTTCACGCCTATAGTCCCAGGTACCAGGGAGGCTGAGGTGGGAGGATCATGTGAGCCTGGCAGGTTGAGTTTGCAGTGAGCTGAGATTGCACCACTGCACTCCAAGCTGGGTAACAGAGCAAGACCCTATCTTAAAAAAAGAAAAAAAAAAAAAAAAAGGAAAAAAGGAAAGAAAGAAAAAATAAGAAACAAAGAAAGGCTACACATTTCTGAGCTCTACCCTAGATCCACTAAATGCAAATCTCTGGGGTTGGTATCCAAAAATCTTTAATTTTGGAATATTGCCCAGGTGATTCAAATGCACAGATGCATTTGGATACCAATGCCCTATTGTTTTGACTATTAAATGAATGATGTATTTATATATAGCATCCTTATTTGCATAGAGAAACTTATATCCATTTCCATGGATGGACTCTGTTAAAACTAACAACAGCAACAAACACAAGTCTATCGTCTTTAATCAAAATGTATCAGAAATAAAATAGGATGGTAATTGAAGCTAATTTCTTACCCCTTCATGTCAGCCAATCGCTTACATCCCCATCCCTTCTTCTGATTCACCAAAAAGACCTCGGGTCCTTAACTCAATGTTTGCTGTATGTTTTCCTTAGAATGTTTGTGGCATGTGTTCATTTTTCTATAATATTTCAAATGACTGTCTTCCAGAAATGAAAAGTTTGTCCTGATTCACTTCCAGTTTTTAATTCAACATCTGATTTGGTATTCGGTATTTTTCCCAGAATATCCGTGGCACGTGCTTATTGTCATATAGTAGTTCAAATGACTGTCCTCCAGAAATGAAAAACTTTTATCTGTGTGAAGCCAAAGAGGCCTTTGAGATTGGCCTTCTCACCAAGAGAGATGATGAGCCTGTTACTGGAAAACAGGAGCTTCACAGCTTTGTCAAAGCTGCTTTTGGTCTCACCACAGTGCACAGAAGGCTCCATGGGGAGACAGGGACAGTCCATGCAGCAATTCAGCTCTGTAAGGAAGCGATGGGGAAGCTGTACAATTTCAGCACTTCCTCCAGAAGTCAGGACAGAGAAGCCCTGTCTCAAGAAATTATGTCTATGATTGCCCAGGTGAAGGAACATTTACAAGTTCAAAGCTTCTCAAATTTAGATGACAGATCTTATGTTCCAGAGAGTTTCAAGTGCAGGTTGGATAAACTTATCTTGCATGGGCAAGTGGATTTCCAAAAACTCCTTGACACCCATTCACAGCACCATACTTCGGTGTGTGAAGTATTTGAAAGTGATTGTGGAAACAACAAAAATGAACAGAAAGGTGCAAAAACAGGAGTCTGTATCACTGCTCTAAAAACAGAAACAAAAAACATAGATACTGTGAGTACTACTCAAGAAAAGCCACATTGTCAAAGAGACACAGGAATATCTTCCTCTCTAATGGCTAAGAATGTTCAGAGGGAACTCAGAAGGGGAGGAAGGAGAAACTGGACCCATTCTGACGTATTTCGAGTCTCGTTGGATCAAGATGTAGAGACTGAGACTGAGCCATCGGACTACAGCAATGGTGGGGGAGCTGTTTCCAACAAGTCTCTGAGTGGCAGCCAGAGCTCCAGTGCTTGGAGCAACTTATCAGGGTTTAGTTCCTCTGCAAGCTGGGAGGAAGTGAATTATCATGTTGATGACAGATCAGCCAGAAAAGAGCCTGGCAAAGAATATCTGGTGGACACTCAGTGTTCCACTGCCTTGTCTGAGGAGCTAGAGAATGACAGGGAAGGCAGAGCTGTGCATTCGTTGTGTTCAGAGCTTCAGGATCTCTTTCTTCAGGAACCCAAAGATGACAATGCAGAGCCTTCTCAAAATCAGCCACATGAACAGTTGCCCTTGACACCCTTCCCTCCTCATAATATCCCAGGTACTTTCTTGGCCCCTGGTGCAGGGCTTCTAGAAGGAGCTCCAGAAGGTATCCAGGAAGTCAGAAATATGGCACCCAGAAATACTTCTGCTCACTCCAGACCCTCATATGGTTCTGCTTCTTGGTCTTCTGATTCTGGTAGGCCCAAGAATATGGGCACACATCCTTCAGTCCAAGATGAAGAAGCCTTTGAAATAATTGATGAGTTTCCAGAAACCAACTGTGATGCGAAAGACAGGCAGGAGAAAGAGCAGGGAGAAGAAATCGGTAAAAGAGGCACAGGCCCTACAGTTAAAGCTAGTCCCTCCTGGGTTGACCCAGAAGGAGAAACAGCAGAAAGCACGGAAGATGTACCCTTAGACTTTCACAGGGTCATGCACAATTCTCCGGGAAACATTTCCATGCTGCCATATAGCTCCTTCACCCCTAATTGGCCTGTTCAAAATTCTGACTCCAGAAAAAGTGGTGGTTCAGTTGCAGAGCAGGGCATCGACCCTGATGCCTCCACGGTGGATGAGGAGGGGCAACTGCTCGACAGCACGGATGTCCCCTGTACAAATGGGCATGGCTCTCATAGACTGTGCACTCTGAGAGAGCTGCCTGGTCAGAGGGCTGAGACCCCCAATTCCTCTGTAAGCAGTAACATCCTCTTCCCTGTCCTCAGCGAGGACTGCACTACTACCACAGAGGAAGGAAATGAGCCTGGAAACGTGCCAAATTGCAGCCAGAACTCCAGTTCATCCTCAGCGTGGTGGCTGAAATCACCTGTGTTTTCCAGCGGTTCTTCTGAGGGGGACAGTCCTTGGTCCTATCTGAATTCCAGTGGGAGTTCTTGGGTTTCATTGCTGGGAAAGACAAGGCAAGAGATCCTTGAGGCTCGCACCTTGCAACCTGATGACTTTGAAAAGCTCTTGGCAGGAGTGAGGCATGATTGGCTGTTTCAGAGACTAGAGAATACGGGGATTTTTAAGCCCAGCCAACTCCACCGAGCACATAGTAAGTACAAACTTTTCAGTAGGTCCCCCCTCAGGAAGCAGCTATGTTTGGGTGCTCTGAAGAGCTTGGTATGTAGATCATTTAAAGCTCATGAAAGGAATAGACCCCTGGTATGCTTTGTGAGTTCACAGAGAAATGTATGCTTCAGGGGTCTCCCTCACTCTCTGTGATGGACCTTAATGGTTGTAAAGAGGCTTGCTCAGGCTACCTTGCATACTGGAGGTTTGCTCTAAGGACACAGAAGGCAGTGAGGGAGACAGGAAACTCAGAGGACTCCGGCACAACCATCACTAAGGGTTGAAAACAGCTCTGGAGGCCGTCTCATCCACTCAGCATCTATCTTCTTCACTGATTCTCATTACCAATCAGGTGATTTTAACAGGCTGGATGCCATATTATCTGCTCAGCATCTATCTTCTCCTTTGACTCTTTTTACCAACCAACTTATTTTTCTCTATCTATCCCCATTAGAATTCTATGGGGACATGGTTTGACCTAGTTAAATATCATCTTTCTATTGGGCAGGGACTTTTTACACCTGTCTACCTAAGTGGTTTCTTGCCAGCCAATTGGTTGGTCAAGTGCGTCCTTGTCTCGCATTCATGATGCTATAACAAAATGCCATCAACTGGGTAGCATATGAACAACAGAAATTTATTCCTCATAATTCTGGAGCCTGGAAGTCCAGGATGAAGGTACTGCTTTCTGGTTCATTGACAGCGCTTTTCCTCTGTGTCCTCACATAGTGGAAGGGGGAAGGGTTTCTCTGAGGTCTCTATTATGAGGGCACTCATCCCATCTATGAGGAATCTACCCCACAGGACCTAATCACCTCCCAAAGGCTCCAACACCCGACACCATCACCTTGTGTGTTAGAACTTCAACATGTGAATTTAGGGGGAATAAAAACTTCCAGACTACAGTACCCTACTGTTGCAATCAGCAGCTACTTCTTGCTTAAGGAACAGCCCAATGTCACTGCCCAATGCAGGAAGCCTGGGCTGGAGCCACCTAGTAGTCAATGTCTAACACAGCTTAAAAGTGGTAGACAAGCCGGGAGGAAGACAGAAGGAGATTCTTCTCTTAGCCCAGGAATCACATCAAAATGCCCTCCTACTATACAGAAAAATGATTTGAATGATTAAAAAAAGATTGTGAAGCACATCGTAGAAGAAACAAACTACATGGATTGCTAAGCACTGGTTACTAAATAGTAGTTCTCAACCCTGGCGCCACATGAGAATCTTCTGGGGAGCTTTTAAAAACTTCCAATGCATCACCCCAGAGATTTCCATCTAATGGGTCTGGAGTTGGACCCAGGATCGTTATTTCTTATGAGCTCTCTGGTGATTCTGCTTAAAGCCACTGTTGAGAGCTTCTGCTTCAAAGTATTCTAATGTTTTGCCTGCCACCTTGAAGTCCGACTAAAACACACATCACATTGTCACCAAAAAAAAAGCAAAAATTTCCAGCAATAGGGTTTTCTTACTTACTGTGAGATTCTGCAATTTTGGAATCACATTTCTTACAATGAGGTAACTGCTTTCTTGTTATTTGTTATTGTTTGCTAATTTGTGGATGAAATACATTCGAGGAAGCAAGGCCCAAAATGGCAGAAACAAAACAATGATTCCCTTCCTCTTTTCTTCTCTCAATTCATCACCCGTCCTGTGTGTGGACAGACAACTCACCTTCCATTTCCATCTACCTTCTCTAACTGAGTCACCCAACCCTAGTCACCATCTCACCCAGTCTGTAGGCAACCCCTTCCCAGAACTGTCAGTTTATCTTGCTTTAAGTATTTTTCTCTCCCACATGTCCCATTCATTTATCTATTTTCACAATCTAGACACAGGTCTTTTGTTTACTTCATTTTAATTCCAACCAAAGTGTTGTACTCCTTCCTTAGGATTCATGTGGTCTTTCTCCTCAAAGAGATACTTTCTTACTTAGCACTGTTCTTCCTTTCTTTAAGGTGGAGACTGCCCCTACTTTTTCCTCTATCTTTTCCTTTTTTCAGTTGAGTTCACATGTTTTTACAATAGCTACATTTTCTCAAATAATTTCCAAACCTTCTCAACCTAAAACAATGAAAAGAAAATTAGGGTGCACTTGAATATATAGTGCTAGGATTCCCAGAGCTGCCGGGAGCCTATTAGGTAAAATTATCTAGTTTATTTCTATTCATGTGATCTGCCATCAGTAGTAGCTTCTATTATTTGGGATCCCCAGGTAATAATAGTAAGTTGCAAGCACGTGTCACTTGTCCTAAAATGGTCTCTGGGACTTTCTGATTTTAAAATTCCTTTATTTTCCACTACTTTCATATAGAATCTTCATGCTTATCTTCATCTCTTTTCATCACAAATAAGGGATTTTGTGACTCAAAGGCTATTATCATTGTAATTTATAAAGTGTTACCTTTTTATTATTTCTCACTAACTTTTTAATACTGTAGTTGTCATAGAAGAGATGAAAATTAGAGAAAAATGTATAAAACAGTGAAGATTTCAGGTGAGCTGGTGTAAGACCTGTGTCGCATCAGCTTTATTCATGAATTGTAACGTCCTTTTGAAAATAAGATTCATTTTCATCTTTTTTTTTCTAGCTGCTCTTTTGTTAAAATATTCAAAAAAATCTGAATTGTGGACAGCCCAGGAAACTGCTGTCTATTTGGGGGACTACTTGACTGTGAAGAAAAAAGGCAGACAAAGAAATGCTTTTTGGGTTCATCATCTTCATCAAGAAGAAATTCTGGGGAGGTATTACTTAAAAACATTTGTATACTAATGTAAGATGAGCTAACCTTGCCCTACATGAGACTTTGTAGGGGTTGAAAAACTTAGCCAAAATATATTTTCAGATTTCTACACGTCTTTCTTTTCATTATTAATTAATGAACAACAGTTACCATATACTGAGGACCCACGTTATATCAGCTGTTTTGCTGGATGTTTTAGCTACAGGACCTCAAATCCATCAGGGAAACATTATTGGCCATAGTGTACTGATAAGAAAAATAAAGTTCCTGGTCATATGGCAGGCCAGAGAGCCTTCAATACTCACTAAAAATGCTGGCAAAAAGGGTAAATTATGAAAAGCACACTTTTAAGTAAATAGGTGAGCCTGAAAAAAGGCAGGAAAATCCTGAGGCCAGAGATGAAGCCTGTTCAGGGATCTAAGTGATTGCTGAACCCTTTATGGATCCCGCATAGGAGTTTGGGGCAGGGGTGGAGTGAGGGTGCAGCCAGTGACAAAAGCTATACGCAGAAGGGGATGAGTTCAGATACCACTCATACACAGCAGGGAATCAGGAATGCTGCATCCCCAGGATAAATGGTATCTCTAAAAACCCTGCCCCAGTGAAGTAAATGCCTGGAAAGTTTTTGATTTGGCCTTAGTTCTTAATAAAATTTTTAAACAAAAACTCACCTGAAAAATTAGTAACCACAGGTGGTCTTCACTGGGTTTAAGACATAATTTTATATCATTTGTATATTTTAAAAGACCTATAAAGCCATGACTTTTCATTTAAAGTTGGCCTTATTATTTGCTCAAATCCAAATAGTGTAAGAAATAAATAGAAATAGAGAAATCAAGTGACTCTGTAAGCAGTGGAAGTACATTTCTTGAAAAGATTATTGATTATTATCATTATTATGGTAAACATGTGCCAGGTCCTGTTTTAAGTGATTTATATGCTAATTCAATTAATCTTTACAAAACCCTCTGAAGGTAGATACTGTTATTATTGTTACTTTACAGATGAGGGAACTGAGTCACAGAGATGTTAAGGAATTGCCCAAAATCACATATCTAAGCAGTAGGGGCAGGTGCTGAGGCTTAAATTGTGTCTCCCAAAACTCAATATTGAAGTTCTGAGTACTTCAGACTACGATCTTATTTGGAAATAGAGGGATTGCAGATGTAATTGGTGAAGTTAAGATGAAGTGATACTGGAGTAGGGTGGGCCCCTGATCCAATATGACTGATATCCTTATAAAAAGAGGAAATTTGGAGATAGACACAGACACAGAGAGAATGCCATGTGAAGACTGTAGTTATGTTGCCTCATAGTAAAGAACTGCCAGAAGCTGGGAGAGAGCCTGAAACAGATTCTTCCTTAGAGCCTTCAGCAGGATGATGGCCCCGCTGGAACTTTGATCTTAGACCACTATAGGCTTCAGAACTCTGAGAAAATCAATTTCTGTTATTCAAGCCACCCAGTTGGTGGCATGTTGTGACAGCAGCCCTGATACACCAGAGTACACCATAGGAGGACCTGAGATAAGAAATAAGTTGAGGATAAGAGACGTAAAGAATGGAGTGAGAGAGTTCAATGTATTTCTGGTCAGAAGAAAATAACAGAAAGAGAGCAAAAGCAATATTTGAACAGATACTTTCTGGTAATTTTTCAGAATTGCCAAAATACACTAATCTTGAAATACAGAAATCACAATGAATCATAAGAACGGAAGGGAACGGAGGAAAGAAACTGGAAGGAAGCAGGAAGGGAAGAAGGCGGGCAGTCAAAAGCACTAAGGACAAAGAAACCATTTTAAAATCAAAGAAAAAAGACGTATTACCTACACAGAAATATTAATTTGACCTACAGCTGGTTTCTTCGTAGCAACAATGGAAGTCAGAGACAATGGAAGTCATATACTTAGTACAACTCTCTTTTATGGAGGAAGGCAAAATAAAGACATTTGCAGCTTAAAAGAAAAAATGACCATGGCAGTTTACCATGAACAAATCCTTACTGAAGAAAAATGACCCCAGAAAAAAAATGGTATCAGATGAGAGAAGATACGGGCCTCTGTTCTCAGATTGATGATCCCATAACTAGGACTGGAGGTCTTCTGGCAGAATGTTCAGGAAATACTCCAGTAGCCAGTACTCACAGGGTTCACTCTCTTGTGCACACCTCTGGCATCAGTCAACAGAATTCTGAATTAGTTCAAACCCTCTGTAGGTCTTGGGTTCTCTCCATAGCAGAACTGCCTAAAGCACTGATATAGCATCTCTATTACAACAACTGCTCCTCTGCAGGCTGCCTTCTGAGGCCATACTGCAGCCTGCCCTGTCAGATTTCCTTTCTGGTCTTCAGGAGTCTGAATGGCCAAAACCCCAGCCTCCTTAAGTTCCATTATTATATAGGATTCAGAAATTTCTGGAGAGAGTTTACCCTGGTTGAAGTCTATGACTCAAGCAATTCCCCTTGATTTTTGGTGGTCACTCTGGGCACATGTGAAATTACTCACAAATTCACACCAGTTTACAGCAAGTATAAACTACAGTAAAGTGCAGCACTGTTTTGCTTCTTTCCGCATGTAATCATTTACTGCCTTGTATCTTCCCACACCAACTGTCTATTAGCTCTTGAAATATACAAATCATGTCTCACACTTTCTTCGAGTCACTCAAGACTAGCACAGTGTTATGCACATAAGAGGTGTTGATGGATAATAAGTATTTATAGATATGAAGTAATCATAAAAGGAAGGGATAGAGGAAGGCTTCAGATTGATGAACTGACTATATAAGGCCACACTGCAGGGAGTGGAAGATCTTGACTCCAGAATCCATGTGCATTCCAGTATACTTTGCTACCCCCTTGTCTTACCAGAGGTCTGGAGAACTTCTACATTAAGCGACACTTTCCCTTTATAACCAATATCTTTCTGGGTCAGCTAGAATGAGTGAGTTCCATTGTTCAAGTAGCTCTTACAAAATTATTTGAATCTTGAGATAAGTCAAAATAATTAATATTCACTGTCTAAGGCAGAAAAAGAGATCTTTCGAGCATTCTTGCATATGTCTTTGATCTCCTCTCTCTTACTCCATAGCAAGTAAGAGAGCACTTTCGCATTTTGTTGTGTGGATTTTCTTCATTCCTAGGTATGTTGGGAAAGACTATAAGGAGCAGAAGGGGCTCTGGCACCACTTCACTGATGTAGAGCGGCAGATGACCGCACAGCACTATGTGACAGAATTTAACAAGAGACTCTATGAACAAAACATTCCCACGCAGATATTCTACATCCCATCCACAATATTACTGGTAAGATTATCCTGAACACATCATTTGCATCTTCCAAATCACACTTGAATATGAGTTAATCTGAGTATCTGGTTCCACATAGTCAGGCTAGCATTTTTAGCAAACTATCCTTGTGTGTTGTCCCTGTACCTTCCAAGAGAGAAAGAACCCTAAAGATTGTATCTAGTACAAACTATCTCCTCAACATGATGCATAAATCCCGTTTTATGTCTGTTGGCCTCACCCCTTGCAACCAAGTGGTTACTAAGTCAAAGCTTACATATTTTCAGCAAGAAAAAATAATTGTTCCCCTTTCACTTTCAAATAATCCTAATTGTTAGAAAGTTCTTAGACTTGGCCCAAATCTATCCTTCTCTAACTTCCGTCCATGGATTACAGCTCTCCCTCCTGGGACCATGAAGACCAGTCTCTCTTCACTAACATATCCCTTTCAATAGATAAAGGCAAATATTCCCATTGAGTTTTCTCTTCTTTGGATCAAGAATGCCTTGCTACCCTGAATATATTAGATCCTTAGTGCATTCATACTTGCAATAATTTTTTCATTGGCCAGAGACATTTTTAGACCCATCTTTTCCTAATCGTAATAATTATCATCCATTTCATACCTTCTTTATGTCACTCACTGTGCCAGGCAGTTTACAAACCTTAACTCTAACCTTTGAAACAACTCCACAAAGTAGCATAGAAACACTTAAACTGATATTTCAACCTAGAGTCCCAGAGCATGATCTAACTTCATGTCCTGGTAACCTAGCCTCCAGGACAGGTCACCTCATGGCCTAAATCTTAAGTGAGCAGTTTAATATGTGAATAATAATAAATTTAAGTTCTATGACATACCACATGCCATGTTAAGCATTTTACATGCGTTTCCTTGCATAATCCCTTCAACAAGCCTAAGAGGTAGTTATAATTATACCACTTTACCCATGATGAAATTGAAGCTCAGAGGAGCAAAGTGGCAGAGCCTAGGTTCAAACCAAGATTTACCCAAGTCCAAAGACAATGGCCTTTACCATTATGCTGTAATGTTTCCCATTGCTATTTTTCAGATTTTAGAGGACAAGACAATAAAGGGATGTATCAGTGTGGAACCTTACATACTGGGAGAATTCGTAAAATTGTCAAATAATACGAAAGTGGTGAAAACAGAATACAAAGCCACAGAATATGGCTTGGCCTATGGCCATTTTTCTTATGAGTTTTCTAATCATAGAGATGTTGTAGTCGATTTACAAGGTATGTGAAACTGGGAATTATTTTTATTTTTGATACTATATGTAAAGTAAAGTTTTGTAACTAGCTTCCCTAATTTTAATTTAATAGATTGTTCTCTGTATAGGCTACTATTTGGAGTTAACTTAATTGATCTTACTATAGATAGCAAATAATTCCTGAAAGAAAAAAATGCCCAAAACTTCTACAAATGTCTACAGTATCACATAATCAGTGAGAAGGTCTGGTTTATGTTCTATTGGGCTTCGTTCCAGAGCATATCTATAACAGCTTTTTTTGTTTCACTCAAGTAGATTTGAGTGATGTATATTTTTTATCATTGCATTTTCTTCACATGTCGAAATCTTCTTTCCACTTTTCCTTTTCTCCAGTCCCTTACCCTTATTAAAAGTGTGATGCTGGGTTTCATAATGGGGGTCATTATAGAACAGAAATCTGTATCCTTAAGCTATGTACTTAAATAAGACTACTTTTCAATTCTACCTTAATATTTTAATTTTGTTTTAGTTTGGTATTTTATTCATTAGAATTTTTATTAGAAAATACCCTATATTTCATGTAAATTATAAGTAAGATTTATTATAATTATTTATAGTTATGGTTCCATGGACATCCCAGGACCTTCCCTATTCCACTCTCAGAGCATTTATCACTCTGTTACATATTTAACTTTTGATCTGTTCCCCTTCACAAGAATGTTAGCTCAATGAGTACAAAGATTTTTGACTACCTTGTTCAATCGGTACCACCAGTGCCTAAAATAGTGTTTTAGAGAGTGTCTGCACTCAATAAATATTTATTGAATGAACAGATGAGTATATGAATTAATAAGTCACTAAAGAAATTTCTGAATCATGAAAGAAATATTCCATATTACGATATTGATAATTATTCAAAGTGTATTTTATTGCTTTCTAATACCTTGAAAATTGGTGATCTGGGGATGTCATATTTGACAAATATAATTACCCAATATTTAATTATTCTTAAACCAATAACTGGAATATGCAATCCAAATTCTTTACCGGGAATTTACTAACTATAAACCACAGGATGGCCAAGTGTTTGAAGTATCTCTTTAAGAGTGTGTGTGTGTGTGTGTGTGTGTGTGTGTATTTTTGTAAACATTTGATGGACATTTACAAGGAATTTAATACTCAGGTGTGCTCATTTCTCTTTCAGGTTGGGTAACCGGTAATGGAAAAGGACTCATCTACCTCACAGATCCCCAGATTCATTCTGTTGATCAGAAAGATGTCACTACCAATTTTGGAAAAAGAGGAATTTTTTACTTCTTTAATAACCAGCATGTGGAATGTAATGAAATCTGCCATCGTCTGTCTTTGACTAGACCTTCAATGGAGGAACCATATAAGTCATAGGCTGTATGGATTGGTAATGTGACAGACCTTAGTGACGCTCTTAAATATCTGGTTCTCTCCTTCCAGGCACATAGAATATGGCACAGTCTGGTCCTTTGGGGCTTGGGCAGGGCCGTGACACAGGTTCTGGCCAATGATTTGTGAGAGGAATTGATCAGTATCACTTTAAGTCCTGCATTTAATCAGCAGCACGAGATCCTGCAGAGCCTCTTTCCCTCTGCCACCATTACCAAGAATGTGTCAGGAGACCGCTGCTTCTGGGCATAAGTCCTGCAAGGAAAGCAACATGGAAAACAGCCCCAACTCACCCATAAGGGATGCAAAGCACTGCTGAGAAAGACATGTGTTGTTTAAGCCATTGAGATGTTAGAGCTTTTTGTCACTATCTATCAAGACTGATGCTACTGGGGCTTTTCCTATTGATTTGGAAGTTCTTCACATATTAAAAAAATGTGAGCCTTTGTGATACAAATTCAATTTGTTTTTCTGTCTTTTGACATTTGACTTGCATAAAATGTTTATCTGTGCATAATTTTTTATATAGTTGAATTCATCAATCTTTTATTTTATATGGCTTTTTGGTTATGTATAATATTTAGATCTTCCTTATACTCTGAGTTTCTTTCTTTTTAATTCTCCCATATTTCCTTCTAGTATAATTAAATCTGTAAAAAGTAAGATGGAAGAGTGGTACAATTTTCCTTATCCAGTCTGTCCTTGATGGGCATTTAGGTAGACTGGATAAAGAAAATGTGGTACATATACACCATGGAACACTATGTGTATTAGTCCACTCTCATACTGCTCTGAAGAAATACCTGAGACTGGGTAATTTAGAAAGGAAAGAGGTTAAAGTAACTCACAGTTCCACATGACTGGGGAGACCTCAGGAAACTTATAATCATGGCAGAAGGCACCTCTTCATAGGGTAGCAGGATAGAGAATGAGTGCCAGCAGTGGAAATGCCAGATACTTATAAAACCATCAGATCTTGTGAGAATTCATTCACAATCATGAGAACAGCATGGGAAAAACTGCCTCAGTTACCTCCCACCAGGTCCCTCCCATGACACATGGGAATTATGTGATTACAATTCAAGATGACATCTGGGTGGGGACACAAAGCCAAACCATATCACCATGTAACCATAAAAAAGAATGAGATCATGTCACTTGCAGGGACATGGATAGAGCTGAAGGCCATTATTTTTAGCAAACTAATGCAAGAACAGAAAACTAAATATCACTTGTTCTCACTTACAGGTGGGAGCTAAGTGATGAGAGCAGGTGGACACATAGAGGGAACAACACACACCAGGGCTTATCAGAGGGTGAAGGGTGAAAGGAGGGAGAGGATCAGGAAAAATAACTAATGCGTACTAGGCTTAATACCTGGGTGATGAAGTAATTCGCACAACAAACCCCCATGACACAAACCTGCACATGTACCGCTGAACTTAAAATAAAAGTAAAAAAGAAAACAACAATATCATTGAATGTTGTGAACTTTATGAATATACCAAAACCATTGGACTAGACACTCAAAGGGTAAATTTTATGGTAGGTAAGTTATATCTCAATAAAGCTTTTTTTTAAAAAAAGAATATTCTTAAAAAAAAAAAAAAAAGATACATTTTCCTGGCTACCACAGTCCATCCCTTTCCCGACACAGATCTACTTCTTCACACAGGTTTAGGAAAGAGCTCCTCCGTGATCTTACTGAAAGAAACAAAAGGGCGACCAGTGAGATAAAACAATTCTTTTCTGCAGTTACTCTTGGGGGCTGCAACTGATGCTCACTCTCCCTGTCCTCCACTGTTCATTCTAAGTTTCCCTCAGCCTTAACTATTAGCTCAGGAGGTCTGGGCGGCTTACCTGGTTGGTGAGACTCAAACTTGCATACATGATCTTCATGTATCAAGTCTGAACACTTGATAGTTTATACTCTTCTCAATTTGAGGTTGCTGCACATGTCTCTTCACAGTTGCAACTGAGGCAAGGAAGACCCATTCCAGTCTCCTGCTGTGGGGATCACAGTTGATTGACACTCCCAGCTTCCACTCCTTTGAAGCCATTACTGTGTTTATGCTGAAACCATGTTGCCCTCAATGTGCTGTCAACCAGTGACTAAGCATGACAAGGACACTAGTCTCAGAATATTTCTAACTGCTGACTGTGACTGTGGAACAAAGTCTTGCCACTGGCCTAACCAAAACTTTCTTAAGGCCGGGCATGGTGGCTCAGGCCTGTAATCCCAGCACTTTGGGAGGCCGAGGCAGGTGGATCATGTGAGGTCAAGAGTTCAAGACCAGCTTGGCCAACATGGTGAAACCCCACCTCTACTAAAAATCCAAAAAAAAAAAAAAAAAGGCTGGTCATGGCTAATTTTCCAGGAGGCAGTTTGCAGTGAGCTGAGATCGCATCACTACACTCCAGCCTGGGTGACAGAGCAAGACTCCATCTCAAAAAACAAAAACAAACAAACAAAAAACCCTTTGCTCTCTCCTTTTATAGGTGTCAGGACCACAGCATGGTCCCCTGCCTACTCTTGTTCCCTCCAATTGATCCTTTACAGTCATTTCTCCCAATAGAGGTCTTTCATGTTTAATCCTTTCCTGGTATCTGCTTCTTGGAAAACCAAAGTTAACACATGTTTATTAAGGAAATGAAAAAAAATGTAATCTATCCTACTAACAAAGTAAAGGGAGAAAATCATGTAATTTCACAAGATGCAGAAAATTATTTCATAAAATTCAAAATCAACTCATGGTAAAAGAAAAAAACAAGCTCTTTGAAAACTAGAAATAAAGAAAAGTTTTCTAAATCTGACAAAGGTTTTTTCTTTTAAACTTAAATCAGCAATACCATAATTAATAGTGAAGCAATTAAACCTTTTAAGTTGAGAAAAGGAACAAGACAAATTTGCCTACTATCCCAATTCTATTCAATATCATAGAAGTCCAACTAATAAACATAGAAAGACTAAAACTAGAAAATCATGATTTTGCATCCATTAATGAAATAATGGATCTAGGCAGAAAGCATTGATGGCTGCTAAAACTATTAGGGGAAAATTAGATGGGGAACTTTATAACGGAAGAATCAGGCTGATGCTACTCACACTTCAATCAATCTGATCACTAAAAGTGGGATAACAAATCAGTGATAAAATGACATTTTTGAGTCAATTGGGGATTTTGAATATGGACTGAGTGTTAGACAAAACGATGAAGTGATATCTTAAGAACATTCAACCAAAAGAAAAATTTGGAAAAAGATATGAAAGCAGCTTGACTCTTTGGGGTTAATGTTGAAGGGAGATGGTTACATAGCAATTCATTGTACCAGTCTTTCTACTTTTCTATATATTTTTAAATCTCCAAAAAAAAAATTCTTAAATGTAATGTCATAGAAAGGAAGAAATACCAAGAAAAGTTTGAAGAATCAATAGATAAAGAAGATGAAAACCAAGATTGGTATCAAACAAACTAATCAGGAAAGAATATAAGGAGGAGCATTCAGCAGTGTGAAATCCAGCAGAAAAAAATCAAGAAAAAAAAACAATTTTGGGGGTGAAAGACAGAACAGTGAAAAAAGATTGCTGACAGCAAAAAGAGGCTGTTAATTGACAGAGTGACCTTTGAGATGTTGTAGAAGGGGGTCAACAAACTATGATCCATGAGGTCAAAGCTGCTGACATCTGTTTTTGTAAATAAAATTTTATTGGAACATAGTCACTTATTCAATTATGTTCTATCTACAGCTGCTTTTGTGTTACAATAGCAGAACTGAGTAACATTGTGACATAGACAGGATTTTGCAAAGTTAAAAATATTTACTATATGGACCTTTACAGAAAAAGTTTGTGAATCCCTGTTTGTGGAAGACGAAATTGGGAATAAAGTTCAGGATATTTACATTTAGAAAGAAATATGGTTATTTCTACTGACACAGAAGAAAAGGAAGAGCAACAATGGGTGAAAAAACTGGAAATTGGAGGTGATAAAGAAGTAAATTGATGGAAAGCACCTCAGAGCCCACTTTTCTTTGTTAAGTCAAAAAGCTAGAATATCTGCTAAGTGAGATGGCATTGGCATAACTAGGAATTTTAGAGAAAGATTTTGTAGCAATGCATATCTCTGAGTTATAAAAAGCAGAAATAGTACTATTGAGAGGAATTTGCAAGAAATTACATTTTTTAAATATCTTTAAATTTTTATTTATGTCATCACCCATATACCCAACACCCGATTGAAGAAATTAAATGTAATACTGTTTTTGAAGCCTCCATCTCTGATCTCTACTTCCTCCTCTATCCAAGAGAAAATTACTGTCCAGAAATTGTTAGTTATCATTCCCCTTACTATTGTTGCACATTCACTTTTATTTAATGTTGTTATACATTCATATATTGCATAAAAGTAACAATAAATATCCAGTATTCTTTTAAAATGTTCAAAGCTTTGTATAAACATTTTTAAAGGCCAGATTAGTTTTTAAAAAGTCAAATTGATTTTCTAGAAAATGAAAAATACAGTAATTGACTATATAACTTACTAGAAAGGTTAAACAGCAGATTAGACATAGTTCAAGAAAGAACTATTAAAATGGAAAGAGAGATGAAGGAATTAGCTAAAATGCAGCAGAAAGATAAAAGGACAGAAAATACAAATGAGTGATTAAGAGATGAAGAGAAAAGAAGGTCCAACATCATCTAGTGGGGGTTTTAGAGGGAGAAAGAGTACAAAGAAGATGGAATCCTCTGAGTCAAGCAAAGAATATGAATCAAGGAGGGAATGATCAACTATGTCAGATGCCGCTGACAGGTAAGTCAGATGAAAACTGTGAACTAAATTTTTGAATTTAGCAATGTGGAGTTCACTGGTGACCTTAATATTAGCAGATACAGTTGAGTGCTGCAGCTGAAAGCCTGAATAGAAAAGAGTATTAGTTTTCTATTGCTGCATATCTCAAACTTAGCAGCTTCAACCAACATACATTTTATTATCTCACAGTTTCTGTGCATCAGGAGTCCAGGCGCAGCTTAGCTGATCCTCAGCTCAGAGTCTCACAGGCTGCAATCAAGGTGTTGGTTAAACTATGTTCTCATCTGGAGGCTTGACAAGAGAAGACTAAACTTTCAAGTTCATCAGGTTGTTGGAGAGTTCATCTAAATAGAAAAAATATATAGAGAGAGAGTATATTGAAATACTGATAGTGTTTTTCCCTAGTAAACTTATTACAGTGGATTTCATTTTCTTCTTTATCATTTGTTTCCAAAATTTTCTGCAATAAGCTTGTATTATTTATCTCAAAAAATAATACTTAACAAGAAATTCAAATGATTCTCTTTTCCAATAGAAGTCCACATTATTAGATGAGCATGTACAGCTTTCTTCCTTAGACCATCAATACTCCTAGTCTTGCAATTTACACTCTAGAAACACTGAACTACTTATGGTTTCAGTTTATAGTTCATCCTGCCACCTCCCACACCACAATACGATGCTTTGTCACTTATTAACTGTTTTCATGC